ACCACGCAGAGATCGAGGCTGTTGGAGGCTCTGGAGACCCAGCAGTTTCCTTCCCCCTCCGGGGGTCTTTCCAAACCTCCTCCTCACCCCAACCCCCTCCTCCCCCGCCCAGCCCCCTCCTTACCGGGGGTCTCCTTCCCCCCTTCGCTTCCGGGGATCCGGGCCAGCGCCCCCACCAGCAGCATCAGGGGGAGCCCAGCAAAAGCCATGGATGCTGCCCCACAAGCGCCCCCAAAGACACAGGAGAAAGACGCCGATGCCTCCAGCCCCAGAGGCGGAATCGGAGGGTCTGGATTGGGGGGAGGAGGAGTTTTCCTCGGACTTCGGAAGAGGGAAGGTTCAGAAAGAGCAGAAGGACCAATGGGAATCCTCCCTTCTGCAGCGTCATCGGTCTCCGGGCAGAGCCTCCCTTGACTTCACCCGATGGAGGAGATAGTTCGGCGCAGAGAGAGAAGCGGAGAAAGTGTGTGTGTGGGGGGGGGGGGTTATTTCAGTCTCAAGTAATGTTCATGTCAGCCCTGGAGGGGAGCATAGACTTCCTCTTGCCCTCCCACAACCGCTCTGGCGTAGAGCGGGGCTGCGGTGTGTGAAAGAAGGGAAGGTGCAGCCCCACAGCCAGTGAGGACCTGGGGGTCTCTTAGCAGGCTTGCTGGGGAGTCCTTCGGCGCCTTCACACACACAGGCACTTCACACACACAGGCACCATGTGGGGTCACTGTCCTCCCTCCAGGAGCCTTCGGCCTTTGGCTCCCTTCCTGGCAAAGGGGCTGCCGGAGGGCCGGTTGCACCCCCAGCGCTGTGGGGTTTTCTGACCCACCGCAAATAGGAGGTCGTTTTTTTATTCCAGAATGGCTGTCCTTCATCTGAATTGGGGGGAGGGATAAGAGCGGGGAAGCGGGAATCCCTGGCTGAGAATCGTGAAGAGAGCAAAGAAAGTGGAGGGTCCCTTCTGAGCCCTCCATGCCCCCCCCCACCTTGAGCTGCACCCCTCCCCCCCAAGACTGAACCGATCCCCCTTCCCACGTTCATCGCTTGTCCTTCTACGCCGAACAATCTCCTCCTCCAGGTGAAATCACAAAGGACTCTGCCCGGATATCGGTGACGCTCAACAAGGGAGAATTACCATTGGTCCTTCTGCTCGTTCTGGACCTGCCCAACTCAAAAGCCTGAGAGAAAAGCTTCTCCCCTCCCCCAATTCAGACCCCCCCCTTGATTCCTCCTCTGGGGCTGGAAACATCTGGCTCTCCCCCTACACACCATACACACACACGTTGATTTCACAGATGAAGATGTAACTGCTATGGATGGCCCCGCAGCCTGGGAAGTTACAGACTGGGGGTTACAGACACCTCCAATCCGGAGGGAAGCCACGGAAAGCCCTCAGCTAAACCATGAAGAGGCGGAGATCTTCAGGGATTCCTCCTAGTCCAGTCGGATCCTCCCCCCAGCCCGCCTTCCCGGGGGAATCCGCCACTCGGCTGTCTCGGTAAAGGCGCAGCTTCGCTTCGAGGGTGTAAAACCGCGTTTCCTTCCTTGAAACCCGCGTCTCTCTTGCTGAGAACGTCCGGACGGATCAGCCCCTTCAGATTTCCCACCCTCCAACCCCAAATCCGAAGGAATCTCCCTCTTTCTTTCTGTGGGTTGGGATCCCCCGTTTCCTTGCAAAGCAGCCCCGGATGAAGATCCCGGAATCAAGTTTGGCCATTTCTCCTCCGGTTTCTGCTCCTTTCCTTGGAGAACTTCCACATCTGCCATAATGTCAAGGTATTTTTCCTTTTCAGCAGAGATATATATCAAATAACATTTTGGAAGAAATTTTGAAATATAAAAGTGCAGATATATTGGGGAATCGTGATGAACTATCCCCCAAAGAATTTGGCAGTGGAACAGGAAGCTTCCCCCAAAACAAAAGGCTCCTTTTTATTATTTTTATTAAGATTATCATGGTATAAAATAGAAAATAAAGGTAGTAGGGGAATGGGAAAGGGAAAAAAAACTGTTTTCAACAAAGCAGAATACAAAGTGAAATTTCAGCCTCAATTTTTCCTACTGAACACTTTTAGTAAATTTGGTCCATTTCTATAACAACCAATCCTGATCAGCAAATCCTACAGGCAAGGTGTCCCTTTCTTTTGCCTCAAGCGGAAAGTCGAGAAGTGGTTTCCAGGTAGAAATACAGCTGGATCTATTCTTTTCTCTGGTCAAAACAGTTTATCTTGCCCTCTTCAGCCAACTCCATCATTTCTTTCTTCCATACTTCTTCCATCCAGTTTTGCATATGAAGAATTCTGGCTGCACTCTGCATGTACAGTAATAAAGTTCCAAGTTTTTATTCATTAATCCTAAAAGGTAAAACTCTGGTTTTCAATAGATGCAGAGAGATAAATCTCATTTACACAATCAAAAACCTAGGGAGGGAACAAAAATACATACCTCTCCTGTAACAGCCAAAAGATAAGCGAGGATCAGCACCAGACAAACAAGCAGACAGAAAACAATATTCCAATCAAGGAACCATCCAGGAGGGAAGCACACCAACTCTGATATGGCATATAACTCAGGTGGCAAACCCCTCTCTCCTTTGCACTGAGGATGTTACCTAGCTGGGTAATGAAAGGTCTCCAAGCAAACCACCAAACTCAAGAGNGGAAAATATTGAAAATATAAATTGTAATGTGGTAAAGCCTGATGGAAAAATGGAAGATATCCAGCAAATGGGAAAAGTGGAAGTTAGAGTTCTAAAAATCCAAGGGAAAAATGAACAAAGAGACAAGATAATTGTGGATATTGACAGTGAACTGGGTGTGTGAAGGAATTGAGGTAAGGCTACGTAAAGACATACGTAGTAAGCTACCGTGATCTCAGTAGCTGGCTACCTTGAATACCTACAAGCTCACCTAATTAGCAGAACCAGATGTTGGAAGAGAGGAAAGGTTACATACAGACATGTGCATTAAACTGCCATAATCTCCGTAGCTGTTTATCTTTTAGCCTATGATCTCACCGAGCAGAGACAGGACGTATCAGGGAGTTATGTTAGATTCAACCTTGGTCTGGATAGCCTTCTGGATTCACAAAGGAAAAAGGAGGGAGTAAACCAAAAACAATACTGTTGCTTACTGTGCTTTGTTCTGCTTGTTGAAACTGTATAAAAAGCCATGAGGCAGGAAAAAATTCAAACACAATACAAATAATTAAATCACAACAGTTTAAATCCTTTTAAAACTAAAACACAAAAGCTCATTTCCACAGCTCACACCCCAGGCAAGCTCAAGAGTAAACACTTGAAAGAAAGCAATTACTGCTAGAATGTAACCAGATTTAAGCACCCTAGAATGTAACCGGATTTAAGCACCCAGATTTAAGCTAGAATGTAACCAGATTTAAGCACCGGGCCTTGAGTTTGACATCCCTGGTCTAGATTGTCCCCACACCTTCCCTCTCCCCCACAAATGAAAATGAGACCCTGAAAGGAAGCTGGGGAAGGGTCTCAGCAGGAGAAGGTCCAGTTCTCATCCTTCCAACCTGCCACCTACAACCTCCATTTTCAGATGTTGCAAAAAAGCCAGAAATTCATCAGCTACTGAAGAAAAAACATCCTTTTGCATCTGAGAGCAGCATTAAGTCACGAGGGCTGAGGAGGAAAGAGACGGGGAAGAAAATTAGAATATAAAGGGAAACGTTCAGTTTAAATGAGGTATTTTTGGAGGGTCTGCAGGAAAAACACCGGATGGACTCCCTCTCTTCATCTCTTTCAGGTCCCCCCAGGAAGGCCCACACTGCAGTGGGGTGGTTGATGGGCAGGGACAGACAGAGGGAGAATCCCCCCCCCCCGGAAAAAACTGGGAAGGACCAGCAATTCATCTTCTAGGGCTTATGGAAATCTCCCCAATTGTCTTAATTAGAAGATTAATCAAGAAAGGGGAGCTCTACCTACAGATGTTCCAGATGAACAAAGAAGATGGGGCTAGGATGGGGGGGCACAAAGGGGGGAGCCTGGGGGTCACTTGGCCAGAAATTTTATGAAATGTCACAAGGAAAAAGGGGGAACCACAGCCCACAAACCGAGACAGGAATAGCCCCCACCTTCCCTTCCTTTTTGCAATTTCCCCAAACTTGGAAAAATTCTGGGCAAGATTTTAGTGTTTGCATGTGTAGTTTTTTTTCTTTTTTCTTTTTTTTTTTTGGTTTTTCATTGCAATGTAAAATTTCTGCCCTCTGCAAGCAAAAGCTGAAAAAATTTCAAAAATTTGCTGTGTTCACAGCAAGAAAGTTTGGTTCAGGCATTTTTTTTTTAAAGGAACAATTAAGGAATTAAAAAAAATACCTATAACTTTTTTAGGAGGGGTTCAGGTGAGGGAGGAAGAGGAGAAACTCACCTGCAGGAGGTTGGATGGGAATTGCTAGAAGGAGAAAAAGATCCAATCAGGATCCTTCGTGGGCTGGAAGACCCAGGGGGTCCCCCTCCACTTTGATAGCCCATAATAGGTTGCATGATCTTCCCTTAATAACAGAAGTTTTCAAAAACATTTCTCAAGGGGACATTCCTCTTGGCCATCTGCTAAGCTTCACAAGATTCCTTCCCTAGATGGTCACCTCCCCACAACTTCTCCTCCACCCCCCACCCCGACTCACCTTTCTTGGCCTTCAGGTAAGAGTAGAGCCCCATCGCAAAGAAGGACACTCCTATCACAGCTCCCATTATCCCCGTCCAGAGTTTGCTCTTGGCAGAGCTGGAGGTACGGGGCACTGGGGAAGGAGAAGGAGCCTCACCTGAGCAGGAGGATCAGGCCCATCTTCCCCCAGGAGGGTCGATTCTGGCTCCCAAGACAGGGAGGGTCTCTCCCCCTTTTCAGGGTAGGATGGGGTCCCCAGAGCAGGAGGGGAGGGCCTTACCCCATTGGACAGTGACGGGGGCCTCCAGGCTGGCGTGATCCACCTTGCAAGTGTAGACGTCCCCCCGCTGGGGCTGGGTCTCCAGCATCACCATGAGCTGGTAGGTCCAGTCTCCGTTCTGGAGCTCCTCCCCATAGGCCACGCCCTCCTTCTCTGGTTGTCCGTTCTTCAGCCACTGGATCTCAATCTCCACGGGGTAAAAGCCCGTCACGGTGCAGAGGAGGATGATGTTGGGGGAATCGGGTTCCATCTTGGTGGGGGAGATGGTGATGGTGGGCTTGGCTGGAGGGAAGGAGGAGAAGGAGGCACATGAGAAACACAGGAGGGCCCAGAACAGAAGACCAAGTTGGTTAGTTAGTGCATTCATTTATTGAATTTATTTGCCAAAGTTGCACAAGTAACCCAAAGTTGAGCACTTCTAGCTGTGAATTGCAGCCCCTCCGCCAATACTTTCTCTCTTAGGATGGGGCTGGTTTTTTCCCTCTGATGGGAGAAACCTCTGATTTCACTCTGTGGTCATGCATGATTTCTGGAGAAGCTCCTGGGCTCCCAATGGGAAGCTCAGACTCAGGATATTCTTCCCTTTTTCCACTTCCCATCAAAGGAGGAAATTTCCCCTGGAAGGGCAAAATTGCAAAACATGCAGCTGAAATCCTAGATTTGAACTCTGCTTAGCCTCTGAAACCCTGTCAGTTGACAGAAATGAATAAACTTAATATTAGACAAAGAGATAAAATTAGACGCAAATCTAGGCAATTTGCAAGAAATCAGAAATGAGAGTTAAACAATTCCTGTCTTCAGGGCCAAAGTCTGTTTCTTATGACTCAAAATTCACTAGTAATGACTTTGGGTATTTTTGAAGTCTTTCCCCTCAAATCAGGAACCTCCCCAGGAAGGAAGACGGAAGCAATTCGGCTGCAGGTGAAGCTGCATCTGTGACCAAAAATGGGACTTCAAGGGGGGCTTTTCTCCCAAACCCCCTGAATGAAATTTCTTAGGTTTTGAATCGGCTTCTGCTCAAAGCAGAGGAAACACCAGACCAGGATTCCGCTTGATGGGTTTTTTTACATCTTGATTCAAACATTGAATTTTGATTATATATTTCAACTGCATTCCTTTATTTGTTTGTTGGATTGAAAGCTACAAATGACTCTGAATAAACAATAAGAAGAACTAAAGGCTGGATAGAAAGGGCACAGCAGGCGAAAGAGCCTTCATGGATCCCCTTTTCAAGATATTTCGAAGCTCAATTTTTATCCTAAAATCCCAAAGGCACCGGAGATGAAGGAAGCCTCCCTCCTGGGCCTTGGGAAAGGAGTCCAAAATGGGGCTCTGGACCCTTGCTTGGGGGGCACAGAGGAGGATGCATCCGTGGGGCTGGTCAGCGCCCTGAAAGCTTCCATGTTTTAATTAGGTTTTTATTACTGAACTGTAATAATCGCTTTTTAAATCTTAAATTGTATAGACTGCTTTTGTGGCTTGATATTTCATCTGTGTGCCACCAGGATCTGTGTCTGTGTGTGTGTATCTGTGTGTGTGTTGGAAGAGATTGATTGATTGTTGGAAATGTTAATTATCAACACGGGACCTTCTATCATATGTGGTGGATATGTCCCAAAGATAGGGAGTACTGGACAAAAATCCAAAAATGGTTGCAGGAAGTAACGGAA